ATCCACTAACTTTCACCTCCTCATTCAGTCTCTGTGTGAGAATAACAGTACATTATCAATTCTTGAAAATACAATTAACATTCATACCAGTGTACTAATGGACCTTAATACTGACACGTGAAGCTTTATACCCAACCCTCACACAATGAAACTGTACCTAGATGACTAGGGAATAAAAGATTTATTTTACTGACACTTCTGTTTGAATAAAGATTATGTACGCCAGAAACTTTAGATGTGCTCATCAGCACATCTGTTGGCATATTTATAGGCTATTTAAAATCTTATAACCAGGACCCTGTATTGTCCAAGATGTATAAATACATACAGAAATATAATTGAATGCATGGGTTCTGAAAAAGAAATTATCCTCAAGTGCAGAGTGTAAGAGACTTTATAAATCATACTCCTTTGAGAGTCTATTGAGGGGGGAGTATTATCGTATAATCAGAATGGTTTGGGTTTGAAGCGACCTTAAAGATCATGCAGTTCCAAACCCCCAGCAACTGGAAGGGGCACCTTCCACTAGACCAGGTTGCTCAAAGCCCCATCCGGCCTGGCCTTGAACACTGCCAGGGATGGAGCATCCACAACTTCTCTGGGTATCCTGTGCCAGTGCCTCACCACACTCACAGTAAAGAATTTTTTCTTAATATCTAATCTAAATCTACCCTATTTCACTTTCAAGCCAACCCCTTGTCCTATCTCTACATGCCCTTGTAAAAAGTCCCTCTCCAGATTTCTTGTAGGCCCCTTTCAAGTGCAGGAAGACTGTTACAAGGTCTCCCCTGAGCCTTCTCTTCAGGCAGAGCAGAGAGGAATGAAGAAAAAATGTTTCCATCTCCTTACTGATGCCTGTCATGGGAAAGCTCTTTGTTAGTCTGGTTTATTTAACCACTAGCTGGGAAGAACAGCACAACCCACAGTGCTGAGTGTCAGCAGAGGTGGAACCTCTTTGAACTTCCTGATGTCAAGAACCAACACCTGGTTCTCCCTGCCAGAAAGGCATCTCCAGGGCAGAGCTCCCAGAGTCATATGAGTGGCTCCAATAGATGTGTTTTGTCTTTGATTTATAGTTGAAATAATTTAAATATTTCTCTGCAAGGGTGCAAATTTGCACTGAATTCTGGCATTGGTGGCATTAAGACATTTCCTACGTTAACAAGATGGTAGGGGAGAGGGTGAATAGAAAGTTTGACTATGAATCACCTAAGGGAAATAATTTTGAGGCAAGTTGATATTTATAGTGATTAAGCAATTGTCTAAGGTTTTGATCCTTCAAAGAGGCATGAATATAAACTTTAAATCTGCGACTTGTCATACCAAAGACAGTTCTGTGACTGCAAGTGACATTGCTTTTATGTTAACAATCATCATACCTAAAGTTAGGCTGGGATTTTTTTTAAGCTTGGTTATGCAGATTCCTTCTTCTCCTGTAAAAAGCCCAGATTTGCTATAAATTTGAGCTGACAGAGCTAAGCCACTTGTCTGAGGCTGTTCTACAGTAAAATTGTTTTACACTCTTGACAGCTGATTAACACAGAGAGTTCCCTGACCAGCTGATGGTTGAGAAATGCCATGTTTAAAGAGCCCCTTTTGTCTTATTGCCTGTCTTTGTGCACTGTGAAGAAAACAAAGAAATGTTAGCCCAATCCCAAGGTCACATTAGTTATATTTGCACATCTGTCTTTAAAGAAAATAATATATCCCTGGTGAATGACTTGTTTTCAAAATAAAGGAGATTGCACGAGAAAAACTATTACATTGCAAACTTCCCTGCAGCACGAGACATCAGGCCTGGGCCACAAAATGAGATTTGGGAGCCACAGGAGCTCACTATTCACTAAAAGCTTATCTCAGAATATAGTGCCCCTGCCCTTTTTATTCACTTACCTGAATTTATCACTGTGACCCATAAAATAGTTATCAGTACCTATAGGGCAGTGATACACTGGACTTCAGTTGGTACTTGCCCAATTGCCGTAATCCAAGGTCTGCAAAGGTGTGTTTCATCTCTTGCCACTCAGAGGGAAGCTGCTGGGCCTTAGCTGCTCTGCTGCTTCATGAAGACTACCGAGAGAAGAAGGATATTATGGGATCATGCCCTTTTTTCAGCATTTTGGACACATCTCTGCAGAAAAGAGTAAAAGGCTGTATTTCACAGCTATGATATCATTCTTGTAAGCTATATTTCAGCATGAGCCACTATAAAACCTCTCCCATGACATCAGAGCTGTGAAATATAGCCAACTTCAAGTGCACAAAATTCCCCCATAGGAATAATTGTTTCCTGGCAATTGGCATTTGAAGGACTGATTCTTTGAAAGGCTGGCACAAATCCTGTCTAGGTAATGCTGCTCGAGGCAGCACTGCTCAGGAAATGTTATGTGCAGGAGCAGAGGTATGGAGCCCCGCTGTGGGGTTTGTCCATAGGGGTAATGGGATGAGCACTGGGGGAGCCTGTCAAGTGATAATCTTCGCTTTCTCATGCCTCAGCAATCCATGCAGACTTCACTAATAGCAAAATAATAGGTTTGCTCATATGCTGCACTCCCTACCTCAGTCCCTGCCTTCGCAGTAAGGCAAGCCACACGCACACAGCCAGAGCTACCATCTCATCTGTCTTTTCATGTCTGTGAGCACAGATTATGATGGGTGTGCTGCTACATGGCAGCTTGCCAGGGATGCTGTTGCTGGGGCAATAATTAACTCACCTGGGCAGGCCCCAACCTCCCCACAAAGCATCCTAGCAAGAACACAGAAGTCCTGAGACATAATCTCCTCTTTTATATCAAGTCAGGGAAGATGCCCACCAGATCAGCTCCACTCAGAGCTGGCGTTAGAGTGGTGGATGTTGGCAGAGCCGTAAAGGACGAGACCCTACATGGGTCAGAAGGGTACAGGAGAAGGGTAAGAGAGACTATGAATGGAGAGAGAGTTAAAGCCACCCCAGCTCTCCCTTGCCTGGTATCTTAATCTGCCCATGTCCCCCTCTAGCGACCTGCACATTTACTTGCCAGTGCTCCATGAACAGCACTGAAGGCAGTTGTTGAACACATTGTGAAGCTTAGTTATGCTGGCGTTTTCTGTTCCTCCTCTGAGGAGGTCTTCTTGTGGTGGGCAGGGGGTCTGTTCTTGCTGTTATATCTCTGTGTGTGCATGTTTACATCTATATGTATATAACCTTGTGTGTCTGTGTCTACCTCAAAACACTCAGAGCCTTATGTGGACACGGCTCCCATGACCTACAGGACACAGTTGTTTTTACCTGCAGACAGTTCACTGGCATTAGTGAGAGCTAACTAGAAACCTTCCCTCTTCTCTGGAGGAAACTACACTGCTTCAGAATTAACTGTAACTGTTCCATTCTTCCTCTTAATGCTGGAAAACTGACTCCTTACATTTTTACAATATTTTACCTTGTGAAGCAGTAAAATTATTGTTTGAACAGCCCTGTTCCATTACCTACTATTCATCTAAAGGCTAAGAAAATTATTTACTAAAAGGAAATGTAAGAGACTTGATCTTCTATTATACAATTACAATGACGCCTAGGAGAGTGGCTAACCCGAGGCATTGCAAATGCTTTAACTCCATCAGTGTAGCTCAAAGGTTAAATTCTGCCTGATTCACATCTTTAAAAAAAAACAAACACACATCGGGAAAAAATTGGCCTTTGCTATAGATTATGATCCAAGTAGTGTTGCATGAAAACACAGAATAAAACAAATTAAAAAAATCTATTTTCAATTTGACTGTCATTCCACAATCTTAGTTTACAAATATTGAGAGTTGCTCCATTGAAGTTTGTGAATGATTTATTGGGCTTTGATCAGAATATTGAAAAAAATAACTTTTTCAAAGAGCATTTGCGTGAAACTAAAGAAAAATTAATTAAATGATACTTCTCTGTGGATCTGTTCAGACTAAAAATTTAACAAAGTGTTTATGAAAAATACATGTGGTGGAATGTTTCTGTCAAGTAATTCTGTTCTCTTCACATTATAAAATGTTCCAAAGCTCGTTTATTAGGCATTTTGCAGGACTGGTTACCTGAGACAGATAATATAATTTCTTATTCCTGAAAAGAAGCTTTCAAATTTAAAAAAAAAAAAACAGAACTGTCTGCACTGTACCCTGGTACTATATGTGTAGCTTTTTTTTTTTGTGTGTGTGTGTGATAAAAATCATGCAATCTTCAGAGATAAGGATAATTTTCATAATTATTTTGTAGGTGCACAGATACTTAGTATTAATAATAGTAGAAAGTAGTAGCTAGTAAGAGCCCACAGGTAAAGATGAACTAGCAGATTTTTTTTTTTTTTTAGAAGATATTAATGAAAGTATTAACATATAAAGTTATGCATTTAAAGATCTAAAACTCAGTACAAAATTCAGTAGGTAACTGAGAAAACCAGAATGTCCACTTCCTATGCAGTATCAAACAGGATAGTATGTGGGAGATATTAACAAATATGCACATTTAATTCACTTATCTGTTTGCCTGACCCTTCTTAAATGAATTCAAAGGGACAACTCCTTGAATGTGAAGGAAAAATCCTGGAGTTACCTAAGTTCAGGCTCTTCAGCCCATAACAGAACAACAGAATGCCTCCTGGGAAGACAGTGAGCAGTCTTGCTAGCTCTTCTTCCATGTAAGGAGGTAACCTCATTGAGATCACCAATCAGAAAATAATCATTTATATCCCAAAGCTCAAGCAGCAAAAAGATAAATGCCTGGTTTGCCTTAGTTGATTAATAGAATTAAATAAAGAGAAAAAAACAACCCAACAAAAAAACAAAACCACAAACATTGTGACTCCTTCCTACTCAGTATAAATTCACTCAGATTATTTGAAGGAATGCTTGCAACATTTTGAACCAGAAACAGCTCAGCTTTTCAGCAATCATTGTTACTATTCTACTTCTTTTTACTTATTTGCTGTAGATGAATATTAAGTACCTTTGAAAATGGTCAAAAAAGTTATTTTTCTTTTCAGAGATCCTTTGAGACTGCAAAGACTATTTAAAGAAGGAAGACAGCATGAGATTGGATTCAGTGCAGTAAAGTAGGTTAATCTGAGGACAAGACAAAACCCCATTATTTAGACCTTCTTGTGTTGCCGTGATGAGAACTTATCATTGCTTCTGGCTGCTGTTTTGGGCTGGTCAGCCCCACCAAACTTTCTTAACTCCGCTATCCCAAAGGACTAATGGCTTTCCAGAAAAGGGAAAAGTTTTGGTGTTGTCTGGAAACAGCAGGCAAGACATTCGTCGTTCCAAAAGAAGCTGGATGTGGAATCAATTCTTTTTGTTGGAGGAATACACAGGAACGGACTACCAGTATGTTGGCAAGGTAAGATTCTTACATATGCATTCTGTATTTTGTTTTTAGAAACACTGGTTACTACACTTCAGCTTCAAATTGTAATCAGCAACAGGAAGTTCCTCATTTAACCAGTAAATCCCATGGCAAATCATGCCCAATTATGTTTAAGATTTTCCTTTTTATTTTCGGCTGGAAATAATGCAGCTTAATTACAGAGTTGTCTAGGCTAGATTTTTAGCTTTAAACTGTAACAAGCATCTTCCCTCATGCTCATTAATTTTGCTAAAGTCAAAGTATATAAACCAGAAAACTTTCTGGTCCAAAATATTTAGGATTAACAGTACACATACTTCGGTGAGGATTCTACCCAGCAAAAGGCAACCATCTCCCTTTTTATTTCCCACCCTTTCTCATTTTTATTAAGCACACAACAATGCTTGCAGCCATTTTCTGATGAGGTTTTGTGGACTCTCTAACATGACCTTAATACCACAAGCTATGCTATTACAAAGGGTTGAAGCTCACTGTGCATACACACTAAGAAGCAAAAGGCAGCTGAAGATTTCTAAGCTGAAAGCATGCTAACAGTTAGAAAAGGGTCTGTAAAAATAATAATGAAAAAAAAAAAAAAGGCACAGCTTAACTATGAGAATATCCACCTCCCTGAGCAGCAGACCCCATGTAGGTAACAACCTTTGTGTGAATTGAAGAGCTAATGCACTTGTGGTAGGTCTAAGGAGAATCTACACTGCCCAAGGTGCCACAGTCTATAGGAGTCCCTCTTGCAGAATGTAGAAATTATGCTATTGATGGTGACATTCAAAGCAGAAACAATAAAGCTTACATTTCCAAACTGAAATGTGATTGCATCTAATCTAGTTTGATCTCTCAAGCCTTTTAGCAAAGTCTGTAGATCACAGTGGTTTTGGTATTTTATCTCCCTCTGCAAGCTTCCGAGCAATCCCATGAGAGATGGTGGCTGCTTTTCTTGCCTGCCAATCAGCTGTCAGTCAAAGTTGGGTGTGACACTCCTTTCCTGCTAAATGGCTGCAAGGTACAATTAGTGTAATACTCATAGAGCTGTGACCAGAATAATCAGCATTCATAAAAGATACAATTGAACTCAGTCTATAGGAAAAAGCTGAAGGCAGAAAGTCCCCAGAGAGGAGAAATAGAGAAGGAAGACAAGAGGGTAAGGAAGCAAGGGGGAGGGAAGAATAAGAAGGAAGAGCCAGATAAAACAGAGGTGGAAAGAGAAGAAAATTTACAAAGAGGAATCAAGATAGAGGAAGGAAAAGTGATATCAAATGGGAGTAGGAGATAGGAGTTGGGAGAAAAATGTTACCTAAAGAGAGCACATATGAAAACAGCAGATGAGTGAAATAAAAAAAAAACAAAAAACAAAAAACAACAGGTAAGAAATGGGGGGGGGGGAAGAAAGCAAATTGGAAGACAGCAGTCCTCTACATACTCTCCTCTTTTACAGTCTACTGAGGAGGTGGGGGTGGGGGTGTTCAGTGTAATGGTAATCTCTTTCTCCGAAGATAAAGCATATGGTACTGAGGTAGGTTTTACAGCCTGTCAATTTCACTGTGAATTTTAACATTAAACCTGCTCAGCCCCAAGTCCCTCATTCTCCCTGCTGAAGAGCTAGAGTAGAAGCTATTGCCTTCAGAGGGAGTGATGGAGGAGCAAATATTACCGCAAAATGAATTTACTGAGTAAAAAACAGTGTAGTTGAAACAGAAAACCAAGTAAATTTGAATTGGAGGCATTGATAGGAAAAATAATGTGGATGTTATTTTTAAAGGTTGTTCTTCTACCTATTGTACTTCAATACACTTCTTATTATAAGGCATAGAAACAACACTTAACGTATAAATGTCATTGATTCTGTTTTCCTGGGGTGTTCACAAGTGGCCTTTCACATGTCTTGCAAATGCCAGAACTGCTCACACCCTTGTAATTGAACAATTAGCCAAAAGGCATGGGAGAGCAGCCATTTATTATTAGGGCAAGTTGAGTATTGGTGTGAGTATAACTGATAGAAACAGCTGAATGTCTCCAAATTGAGGTAACTGGGCAATTTAACTGAGCAATTAAACTTGATTGGTGTGGGCAAATGAGGATAATGAACATGTTTCTGAAGCATATTTTTTTCTCAGAGGACTAAATGTTAACCTTGAGTATGAACTGAAAATGGTAAGAACATTCACTTATAGTCTTCTTATATTATAAAGAAATGTGAACAGGAAAATGTTTTAAAACAATAGCAATATAGGTTTGTAAAGGGGAATTGTGTTTATGTCTTACTGTATAAGCAGTCAGACCTGGATCTTCTGAGTTTTCTTTTGTGCTTACTGGCTAAAGCTTGTGGGAATTAACATCATAATTACATTTAAAAAAATTCCATGTATACTACAAGAAGAAAAATCTTTTACTCATGCTGGTTTTACTTTTGTCTTTTCATTTGTAAACATCTTTATTTCAAACATCAAAATTTGAGATGCAAGAAGTCTGTTGTGAAGGATTTTAATAGCATTATTTTTATGAACTGCCTAGATTACAGTTGTAAAATCCTGTAACCGTTATACTGAAAACCACACTTTTGTATCATAATTTTAGAGAGAAGGGAAAGAAAAATGGAAGAAAATGCTTTCAGGTTTAAGATAATAAAAAAGGTACTCTCTCTGAAAATATTTCTTAAGGCAGTGCTGAAGGCAATACTGAAGCACCACCTGAATCATGGACCAGGGTACTACTGTGCTCCGTACCCCATGTACTCTATAACCAATGAAATCAAATGCTTTCCATCTGTTAGGAGATAATTGTCTAGGCACATGTGAAATAAAATAGCCCTGTGTTTGGTACCCATGCATACTGTCAGCTATTAAAAAGTGCTCCCCAGTTTTGTATGCTACACACTTTACTGTCAGTAAAGTATGGTGCTGTGTCACACTGGACAAGAATATGCGGCTGCCAGAAAGAAGCTCTTGTCAGTACAAGGTGATTGTATGCTTTGGCTGCGAAACCAGATTCATCATTTTATTACACAGTTCTTGTATTTTTTAATTTCTCTATATTCATGAAATAAGACCTTTTAGAAAGATAGAAACTCACAACTTGTCTTGGTTAGTCTCAGACATAATAATATAAGGAACTTGTAGAAAAGTTCTAGACTGGAATTATTCATTGCACTGCTGAATAACTTGTGAACTACAGCTATTCATTGAAGTGTGATTGATAGGCACAGTGACATTTTAACCTGAAGATATCTTTTCTTCTGTTTCAAGAATTATGGCACTTGGTAGGGACTCAGTCCCAAAATAAAATATTACATGAGCATTGAAGTAGAGAAGTGCCCAGCGCTACTACCCTAGCCAAAATCTTCAACATTTGATTTGGGTTTTAAAAGAGTTCTAGTTACGCTTAGTACAATTTTAAAGGGCTGAAGTGAATGCATCCCTAAATCCCAGGTAAATGACAAAGTGGCAGTGCAGCTGTACATAGAAATGGATGCTACATTCCCTAGTCTTCAGATATTCCTGGGCAAAAGAGTAAAAAAAATCTGCCCTACTCCAGGGTTATATTGAAAGTATAGTTGTTATTTGTATGCACTTTGTCTTTGCATGCTGTCCCATTAGCTACGTAAAGTCCATGTATTGGCTTCCATCATTGAGTGGTCTTGTGAGTGAGCACAAACCTACAAATCATTGTTATGTAAAGGGATAGGATACTGCTTTCTTTTAGGCTAAAGAAAAATCTGAACAAGTCTTAAATCTTACTTATTAACTCAGAAACAGCTTCTGGCAGACTGCAGTGGAAAGGAGCAACTTGCTTTCCTGATAACAACAGGCACAACCATGGAACAGTTTTGTCACACTCAGTCTATCTGGCACTAAAAGGAAACTTCCAGACATACTTTTCATTTTTGCAGTCTTATTGATGTTCATATAGTTCAAGCAGTATGCTAGCCTGGAAGCTATCTGATGTTATTACCTGTATAACCTATCATAAATAATCATCCTCTGCTGACAACTCCATTTTTCAAGGAAGATAAAGTCAAAGTCCTGCTGCTGTGTGGCTTGGCAAAACAGAAAGGATACTACATTGCTGTAGGCAAAATCAGAATCCTTTTGTCTGATGCTTAAAGAACTACGGGGAACGATAAATTCCTCTCTGTCAGGAACAGTTTAAGGTACTGTTGATCCTGCTTTGGAGGAGGAGGGGTTGAACTAACTGGTATCACAATATAGTTTCAGTACCGGTTTTCTTTCTTTTACCAAATTTTACTTCTGGCTATAACTATTCTGAAGGCAAGTAGAACTGATCCATGCAATGTATTTCTCCAGAAGCAATTCATACAAAAGGTAGAATCTCTCCAACCCACTGCAAGCAATGAGATTAAGTCACATACTGAGACACAAATATCTGACTGTGAGTACACACAAGGGGGTATTTAAACAAGAGGTATCATATCTTAATTGAATGACATGACTACTAGCAAGAGAAACCTTCAGTTTCTCTCAGATCTTCAGTATAATAGCATTCTAACCTCATCAAAACTTTTGTTCCCTGCAAAAAAACTAAGATGGGAAGGGTCAAACTAAAATGTTTCTACCCATTTGCACTTTTAACATCTTTTATGTAGTTCTACCGCAAATGCTTGCTCAGTATTTGTTGTGTTTTTTTTTTTTTTTACTTTGTAACCTGCACTGTGATATACACCTAATGCCTTTAGTTTCCTATTCCAAACACAGTGTTTGTTATCTTTGAGGCCTAATATTAAAAGTTCCACTTGTGACTTCCACTTATTCAGGAAGTCTACTCAAAACAGTTTTCAATTTGCTTTGACACTCAGAATATCCTTTCTCTAGGGCTAGATTCTGCGCTATGCTTCCAGGAGAAATGGCAGCCCAAGAGCCAGGCTTTAAGTCTCTGAATGACCTCCCAGTCCTGAACAATTCCTGGGCTTGAAGTGACTCACAGCAAAACTAAACACAGCTATCAGTCATCCCTAGGTTGCC